GTAGGGAAAATGTTTTCCATGACCTCAGTTCTCTTCTCACTTCCATCACAAATTCATAAATCAAAGGAATTACAGATGTTTCCATGAGAAAAGAGGAATTTTAGCAATGAAGTGATAACATTTAAAGCAGGTAACTAAAGTATGAATATCTGAGATAAAAAGGGAGATCTGGAGGCATTTGGTGACTGAGAGCAATAGTGAAATAATGAACTTCTGATCTGTATACCACATCTGTTCTATTTACTCCTCAGCCTTTTAGTTCCACCCTCTTATTAATCATGGTCAGAAATGTATGAGGAGGACCAGATAAAGAAACCTTGCCTTCTCTCTCTAAAGCATGAAGACTTTCTGCATAATGTCGCCATATTATACTGGGCATGTCTCACACTCACAGTGAGAAAGGTTGTGATTAGAGCAAGTGGAAGAGAAGGACGGGGCAGTTCTGTGCACTAGCTGATTTCCTGCTTCTTGCTGTGAACACACTGGGTGACAATGGCATGGACTCCCTAGATTTGGGAGTCTCAGGCTCCAGAAGTATGTTGGGAGACTGGGGAAATCAGAGTGGGTGAGTGGGATAACAGGCTCCCAAAGCCTGTGCCAGACGCTTAAGGGAAGCCGTAAGGAGCATTTTCCGTGGCTTAGCAAAGGATGACAGAACTGAAAGAGAAAAGGTCCAGCAATGCTTTTAAAGATGGAAAAAAAGACCTTTCAGGAAGAAATCTTGAAATAAGAAATGAAAAGGAGCAATCAGATGGTAACAGGGAAGACATTTGTAAGTTATGAACTATAGCCCTGATAGAAGGGCAAAAATTGCAATGTCATTTAAAGGAGTAAGAATGAAACATAAATGCTCTTAAATTGTCAAAGGGGTTAAGTCAGAGAACTTGTCAAGAGGAATCGTTTACCGGGTAAACCAGACTAGTGAAGGGGGTGAAACAGAGTAGAACAGCATAGCCACATAAATGGTCCTTTCCCAAAGCAAGCAAGAAGCTTCTCTATCTGCGGAAGAAGAAACAAAGGAAACTGCAGATACGGAAAAGAAAGTGTGCAATGCCAACACCTGAGGAGGAGCTGAGAGGTATAATCAGAACAGGGAGGTACTGACAGCATCTGTGGATGTCACCAGAAGCTTGCACAGCCAGTGACTATGTAGTGTGAAAGGAAGCAAAGTTCTTTAAAGGACACAGTGTTATGATCAAAAGAGAGAAAAAGATTGGAAGTAGCCACTCTGCAAGAGGAGAAGAGCGAGCTAAAGA